AGACTTAATTCTTTCACCATCGGATAGAGCAGAGTCTAGAGACTAGAAATGCATTTCTTCAAAAAAATAATTTGACCTTTTCAAGGGTCGAAATTTTCGAAACGCGAAAGGCGCCAAAAACGGCCTGTCACCATTCAAATTTTAAAGCTTCTCTTGCAATTTTCACAATTCATGACTTCCGGGAAAAGTTTTACTGTGGTTTGGTTGACCGACTGATGGCCTATCTGGAAAAAAATTTTGAACTCAAACGTACCTTGTCGGCCGAAGTTATGGCCCAAATTTTAATTAGTGTAAAATGGTAGTAAGCAACCTTTTCACCTTTTTTTTTAGTGAAAAGGGTTTAGATTCAAGGTTTTGTTCAAATCGAATTTGAGTTTGATATTTCGAAAGAGCATAAAAATCTGTATCTAATCAACTTCTCAAACTCAAATTCCGTCAAAATCTCGAGACGCAGCCTCATTTAAAAAGGGAGGGATGAAAACATTGCCCTCCCCTTTTAATAAAATGGCGCCAAAGTGTTTCCATGAAGACGAACTAAATTGAATCCAAGTTATTCGAGTAACTGACACTAGGTTACCTATAATCTGAAAGCTAGACCGAGTTCCATCAAAGGTTGACTGAGATCTGTTAATTACGGAAAAAGTAATTAGGAAGAAAATTTTGAACGGTGACAAGCCGTTTTTGGCGCCTTTTGCGTTTCGAAAATTTCGACCCTTGAAAAGGTCAAATTCTTTTTTTTAAAGAAATGCATTTCTAGTCTCCAGACTCTGTTCTATCCGATGGTGAAAGAATTAAGTCTCTAGCACCTTATGGGAACTCACGGTGACGCTCGACATTCTTGCCAAGACTTTTGCATCAGTCGTTATTCAAGTTCAAATTGAATATTATAACAGAAATTGAATTGCTGATGTAAAGGAACTAAAAATTCTGACTGTTGTTAATCTTTAATTATTCGATACACTCCAAATAAAGATGAGAAAAAACCAAGGGGGAAACATGATACTTCATACTTTACGTACTTTAAGATACTTTAATATACTTTAACATACATTAATGTAATTCGAGTCACTGGGGCACGTTTTCTTTTAGTTTTGTAATGCTTTCACGTAATCTTTTTACTTATATCCAAATGTTACTAACCCAATAAAAGCTTTATAAGGAGGTAAATATACAGTACCCTAATCAAGCTACTTATATTATAGAACCCCTGAGCAATAGGAAAACTCTGCATCCTAGTTTGCAACGACTTTTTTTTTATCATTGACAAGGATTAATCGAAAATGTTTTTTAGTAACAACCCTCTATTCCTGTAAAGAACAGCTAGAAAAGGAGAGCTACCCTTACGATACCAGTTAACAACTAATAAATANTTTACACTAAACATAGCTGAATCGATATAGATGAATATATTGCGGTTCTCTTTCTTTTCAGATTCAAAATGTGGCTATTTGCACTTCCACCAGCTTTGAACACCTTAGTGCGTCTCTGTTTCTAGATTTCTCTATCCTCTTTTCAGTTTAAAGTCAAATGCAATATTAAAACCATCAAGAGTCATTAAAATCACTACGAAAAAGTACACTTATCCCAGTTTTGTTAATATTTTCTAGGAAGCAAGTAATGTCATTGTCGTATAAAGAGCAACCTATGATGCATTTTCTCGATTTTGCTGGTCTGAACTGATCCAATGTGAAGCTCTCTGAAAAACTAGACGTGAACTTTCTAAAAGATTTGTATGGAAAAGCTTCTAACCTTCCCCTTTCTATATCGAGCGTGCCTAAGTCAGTAGTGGACAACATTGTTTTCAAATAATCAAGGACGTTTATGATTTTGATCAATATAATACATGAATCTCTTTCATAAAGTTGAACGGTGATGAAAGCTTTGTTTATATGTTTAATATTAGGGCGATATAAATTAAACTACTATTGTAAACCTTATTGAGCTACCGCTCTAGAAATTAGATCAATAGAGAAGTATGAAGAAAGACTCAAAAGTAGTGAAAATAATGTATTATGAAGAGTCTTACGCAGAAGTCTGCATATTATGGATAACTATCAATTCAGCTATGTTTAGTGTAAATATATAGAATTTATGTGAAGTCGCTTTACCGATAGCAGAATTATAGGTTCAGAGTTCTTTTGTCATTGAATGAGGTGACAACTAGAACTACTGTATAACCACTCTTTTTGAAAATGTTATGAATATTGATTGACATCGTTTTACTTTCGATTACATCAGTATCTTAGTCAATGATGAATTGTGATCATCACAATAGTTTATTTGCTAGTATAGGCCAGGCTTGTGGCTTGAGAGTTCATGTTTTTAAAAGACAGAAAAAAGGAAAGAATTTAGATTTCGAAGCTAATTGTGATGATACGTTTGATAGACTATATTCTTTAATGGAACATTTGTGTCTTATGTGTATGTACTCATAATAATTACGGATCAAAACACGCAACCTTAATGTCTCATGTATCACAATTTATATGTATGAAGACCATAATTTTATGTAAGATAATTACTGAAGGGCAACCTCTTCATCATTCTTCGCTTGATTTTAATCGTAATGAATAGAAGCCTTTCGTATATCCAATTTTTAGCGTATTAAGAAAATTTTGAAGCTATTTGTAACCCACTGTAGTACACATTAAACGGCAGATCGTTTCACATCTGGTAGGAGAAAACTGTAAGCAACTAAATGCAAAGGTCTATATACTAGCATTCCTATTTCTACAAATAATGAACATGTAGTACAATTAATTGGTACAACAATCTATGTCTAATCATTACATGGTTCGAAATATTATACAAAGTGAGTATGAAAAAGAAGTGAGGAACACTACTGTTTCCTTCCTAAGATTGATTGTCATAGATAACCGATTCGCTCTTGATTGGAAGTGTCCCATTCTCTTATGAAGATATTGGAATAGAAAATTAGAATTAACGCGTGACAGTTATACCTATCTGATATATTGTAAACTATTTTCTGTCTCTAAGAAAAATCGTGACAATCAACCCTATCCATAATAACGTCAAGAAAACTGAAACACTATTGGAAAACACGAAGACTAATCTTCTGTATCAAAAATCATCCCGTACGTAGCTCGACATGAGATCGACTCCGTTGAGTAAGTCACGGTGCTCTATTTTACGTTTGGGTCATACGTGAGAATGTTGTCTGAAAAACAATTGTTCCAAAAACTGCAATAGATCATATGCATCTGAAAGTGCAAGCTTAAGAATATAAATAATATGGCTTAAAATATCACCAGTTCGCGAAGAGAATCAGTTTCATAGATTTTAACACGTTATACACTTCAGTATTATCTCATATTCAAGTGACATATAGTTTGAAAGTATCAAGAAAAAAATAAAACGCTCATTAGGAAACCTAAAATATTGATAGGAAGAAAGAAGAATGATCATGGTCAAAAGAATTTCTTTCAAGGCCATACGAAAATGTACAGGCTTATTTATGATCTTTCTCGCTGAAAAAAAAGAAAACGAGTAGGGAAGAAAGGATGGTTGTCACAGCTTTCTTACCAAGAGGGACATAACATAATTCTAAAAATCAGAATTGAGTAGGATTTTCAGTAAATTGCTATGCGTTTATCAAAATAAACCAGTTATACGAGGAAGAAATAGCAGTATCATAGATCTTATATATTCCAGTATTCTGTTATGGCTCTCTCTCTCTAATCTTTGACATCGGAAATATGATATAACAATAGTCGAATAATAGGTAATACAATTTGAACTAGAAAAAAATAGTCAGCAGAGCTCAATCAATATTTCGATCGGAGAGGTGAAACAAGCAACATTGATAGAACAATCAATGGCAACCACAAATATTCTGTTTGTCAAGGTTAACAAAAAGATTCACTTTCTCCTAATGAAACTGACTTTTTATATAGTTCCCTTCTTTCTAACGCCGTTAGTAAAAAACGATTAGATTTCTCTATAAAAGGTTGATAAATTGGGATAAGTGTACTTTTTCGTAGTGATTTTAATGACTCTTGATGGTTTTAATATTGCATTTGACTTTAAATTGAAAAGAGGATAGAGAAATCTAGAAACAGAGACGCACTAAGGTGTTCAAAGCTGGGGGAAGTGCAAATAGCCACATTTTGAATCTGAAAAGAAAGAGAACCGCAATATATTCATTTATATCGATTCAGCGGCTAAATCTCCTTAGACAAGTCCTTTTATCTGTTGTGATATTCAAAACAAACAAAATTTCCAAAATCATTGGGTGGGGGGGGGGGGCCGGGGG